ATTTTATAATATTTTACTGCTGCACTGGGTCTTTATACAGAATTGAAAGCAGTTATACAATTTATTTAGAATAAACTATAACATTTAGTCTGTAAAAAGTTAGCTGAATAGCTCAATTAGGAGTTATGAGTTATATTTCTATTTTTAATTTTTTTTGTAAAAAGTGTAAATGTACTGAACACACAAACACACACACACACACACACACACACACACACACAATCATTTTAAATAATGGAAAAATGTTTTAAACATTAAATTATAAATATATAATCATGAACTGATTAATACAAATATTAATAAATATAAATATATAACAAACATATAAGAAAATATACACTTTTATAATAATTTGTTTTTATTATTTTATGTTATACAAGATTTGGAACTGTGTAAACACGCATTTATTTTAAAAAAATGTTTACATTTGGATTTTACATTTCAGTGAGTTCAATAACCTTTTCCCTTTTTCTTTATTCAAAAAAAAAAAACTGTACAAATTAATCCGCGTTATTAGAATGACAATAACATAAGCAAAATGTAAAGCTGCAATGCAAAGTGAGCATTCCCCAAATGATTGAAATGACTAAAAATGCCTTGTTTTCTAATAGCCATGTTCTGCAGTGTATCTCAGTGTGTCGTGTCACCTCAGCTAACGGCAGTTGTCTCTTCATGTCGCTGCTGTTGGTGGGAAATTCACTGCGTATTGTAGCTGGAACTTCATTCAGGATTTCTCTCACAAAGTCCACCTGTCCGAAACAGGCTGCCACATGCAGAGCCGTTAAACCCATCTACACACACACACACACACACACACATGGTTCACTAACACTGAAATGTTACAGCACAGTTTTGTTCTGCTCTTTGTAAGCAGAGGTCATGTTCACATGAAGCACCTTGGAGCTCTGGATCTTCAGTGAAACGCTGCCTTTCAGCACCTCCAGAATATGAGTGTGTCCATTCTTGGCAGCCAAATGTATGGGTGTCATGCCCTCCTGAAAGGGTCAAAGGTCAATGTACAGTTGCACTATTGCACTATTAAGACATTATCTTTGTTCTTTATCATGTTAAAATGTTCTTTGTCACATTTTGTCTTTCTAACTCACGGCGTCCTCCTCCGTCACTGATGCTCCAGCGTCCAGAAGAACTTTCACCACCTCCGTATGACCGCCAGCAGTAGCGGACACAAACCGTTAGCCTGCCGAGTTAGAAAGAGCAGAACATTTTCATTACCTGAAATAAAATAAAATATACTGTATAAAAAAAACTTTAATTCAGCCTTTAAAACTGCCAAGGCAACATATCTCATTTTTATTTAGCTTCATGAACTTCATTAAACAAAATCTAAATAAAAATTAATAAACAATATATAGATATTTAAAAATATATGACCATAAAAAACATAATCCTTACTTGAAAAAAAATAAAAAAAATAAAATATAAATAAAAAAATTATATATATATATATATATATATATATACTAGGGCTGCCCTCGACTAAAGATTTTTCTGGTCGACTAGTAGTTGTTCATTTTAAGCATTAGTCGACTATTAGTCGCACTTTTATTAATAAACCATATAAATCATAATAATGAGCCTTTAATTGCCTACATAGCCTAAAAAGCGCTCAAGCGCATGCAAAAAAGGCCTGCTACAGCGCACCGGCAAATATAATAATTATGAATGTGTTAGCGAAAAACAGCAAGTACACTGCATTAACATTTTAATAATTTATTGATACACTAGTGCTTTCTGTTTTCGGTTTAAGACATGAAGTCGGCGACACGGACTCATCATCTCCGCAGTAGTGGATACGCCTGTGTGCATGTTTCATACGGATTACATAATCAGAGAATATTTGGTTTCTATTTGAATCGGTTCATTTAAAAGTTTCACTCTCTATAGATATATTTTCATGTCTGTAATAATAAGGCAAGAATACACGGAGTTTCGAAGTGACGCGCTCAAGTTCACAGCGTCTGAGACGGCAGAAAGCGCATCGTTTGCTTTATTTTACAAAAGCGCAACGTTTCGTTGTTATTCTGAGTGCACGCGAATAAACTTTATTGAGTCTTTACAGATAGGAAAAGATGCATTACTCTTATCTGTATGACCAAAAAATGACCAAGTATTTTTAGAGCAACTGATCACAGTGGCACCTCCATCTGTCATGCAGTAGCCCAAGCGCGCGCGCTACTGTTCAGCTTCCACACTTCGCAAAAACACGTGAACAGCGCACTTTTTTCTAGGCTAATATTAGATTGAGCTGCCATGTAAAGTACATACATTTTTCAGATAAGCCATATTTAAGGGTCGATGAATGTTAGGTGAGCGTATGGATGTCCTGCCCGATGTACCATATTACCACATAGACCAGCCGTAAACGATTTGTCTGTCACAAACTGCTTGATTTCGCCACTTCGTACGGATAACATTTTGGTCGACCAAGCCTCTTTTCGTCGACTAACGTTTAGTCGACTATTAGGGGACAGTCCTAATATATACATACATAAAACGTTTATTTATTTTGAAATTTTAGCAAGTTGCCAGGGCAACATTTTTCATTTTCATTTAGTTTAAGTTGAAGTACTAAAATAACTAAAACTGAAACTGACATAAAATTTAATAAACATGTAAAAATCCATAAACATTTGTTACTTGAAATAAAATAAGAGTTATTTGAAATAAAATAAAATCATATTTATTTCAGCTAGTTTCCAAGGCAGTTTAACTTGATTGTACTAAACTTTATTGAGTTTAACTTGATGTACTAAAATACGGAGGGCCAAATTACTCAAAAGTTTTGTTCCAAAATTATCTGGGCAATATCAAACAGTAAACCGGATTGAATTATGCACACACGGTACAAGTGGCTAAGCAACAACTGCATACACTTCTGACTAATGGTTGGAGAACTTTTAGAACTATTAATAACACACAACTAATATCTATTGATTTAAATAAACCAACTGTAAACGGCCGTTAACAGAAGCCAGAGACGTTGAAGAGCGATGCAAAGAGGAGAAAATACTGTAGCACGATCGGTACGGAATATAGGAAGAACATCCTAAATACTGAATTGGAGGTGGGAGTTTATATGAATGTATCTCTGAGGGGAACTGATTGTCTTCAGAAATGTTTCGATGGCATTTTCTTTCATCTTACCTCTGTATAATGTAGGGGTAGGGGAAAAAATCTATACAGCATAGTATCGCGATATTTTCCACGGCAATACTGTATCGACACATGGACACCAAGTATCGATCTTTTATTATACTATTTGGTAAAAATAATCATTTAAATTTCTTTACAGTCCACTAGATGGTAGTGTTGAGTTTTTTTTCTGGCGAGGTCTTGAGAATCCCAGTTTGCACTGCAGCAATAAAATTGAAGTGAGATAAACTGAGAAATGTTTCTTTTTTACGGAGCCCCGCACATGACATGCAAGAAAAAATAAATAAATCGTGTGCACGATTTACTAATTCGTTCCCTCGATGTGAGGCTGTGCGATATTGGGAAAAAAAAGCGATACATTGTTGAAAAATGCGATATTCGATATGCGATACGATATTGCTTAAAGTGTGAAAAATCAATTAAAATGATGTTTAAAAATATTTAAAAATGAAAATGATATAACCAATTAGGGCTGCACGATAAATCGCATGCGATATTTAATGCGCATCTTGTCAGAAAGCCGTTGTTCACTGACGAGCTGCGCAAAAAATCGCGCGAATATGAACGTGGTTTTGCGCAACTCGTCAGTGAACAATGGCTCTATGTAGTTAATGCTGCTCAATGTGAAAGCACGCACGTGATGGAGATTTACCGCTGATTACAGAACCGGCTTTACTGATAAGATGCGCGTTAAATATCGCATGCGATTTATCGTGCAGCCCTATAACCAATTTGTTTCACATTCTTTCTTGGAAAAGAAAGAATCACTACAACTTCTGAAAGTGACCAGCAGTGTTTTAGCAGTATATAAAAAGTAATGTCACAAATCAGAAAATAAAATTTTAACATCAATGTGAACGTACAAACAAAAAAAATGAATGACACTAATTTTATATCATTGTGACTTTGCTTTCCACACACTTTAAGTACTTCTTCATATACCACAGCAAAAACTATAGTCTGAGAAAGTTCACAAACATGATTAAAGGCAAGTGAACAGTCAGTAAAAAAAAGAAAGAAAAAGGGGGAAAAAAAGAACAAATACACAATTTACAAGCATAGATAAAATAAACAGTAGTATTCAGGTACAGAAATGTAATAATTAGGTGTAAAATAACACTGCATAGTGTTCACTGTATGAATTAAATTTAGATTAATCTTTGTTATAGCTGTTTTGTTATTTGATTAATATTAGTGACATATTCAGCAGCCTGTATTTATAGGCTGCTGTCCCTTTAAATCCATAGTATAATGATACACATCCAATTTCTTTCTCAGCGGTTTACATTCAATTTAAGACATAACTGACTGCGTTTATGTGAGTCAGACAGCAAGATGAGACGGCAAAGAGTTGTTTTCTGAAACTTATTTCACTTAACAACAATATGCGTCGAACTAAAACTTTGACCTTTTGCAACGTTTTGATTTAAGTAGCCAATATTATTAAAATGATTCAGATATCGCACGCCGTTGCGATATGCATATTGCGATATTTACATTTGCGATATTTCGATATATCGTGCAGCCCTACCTCGATGTACTAAAACGTGCACACGATTAGTATTTCGTTCCCTCGATTTGTTAAATCGTGCGCACAATTTACTAATTAGTTCTCTCGATTTATAAATCGTGTGCACGTTTTAGCAAATAGAGGGAACGAATTAGTAAATCGTGCGCACAATTTTATAAATCGAGGAAACAAATTAGTAAATCGTGTACACAATATAGCCTAATATTTTTTTCCTGCATGCCATGTGCGGGGCTCCGTACTTTTTAGTTAAAACAGATGTTGCCAAAATGTTCCTGTGGGGCAGATTATTATTATTATTATTATTATTATTATTATTATTATTATTATTATTATTATTATTATTATTATTATTATTATTATTATTATTATTATTATTATTATCAGGGGTTCTGTCAGCTATAAAGAATTATTTCAAACTAAAATATTCAAACAAAATCTATTTTCATTTTAGTTAAAAATACAGCTGTTCATGTTTTTTTCTCCATGTTATTTAACAGTACATTAACTAACGTTAACAGATTTAAAAATGTATGAAGGAACAATGTAAAAAATGAAATCCACATTAAATAGATTAACAAATGCTTTAAGTATTACTAAAAATTAATAAATCAAATAAATGACATAAAATCAAATAAATTAGAAAAATAAATGAAAGCTAAACAGAAATATAAAAAAACAAAAACCTAATAAAAATAACAAAAGCACATAACAAAATTACCTAAACGTAAGGAAAAAATGAAAATGAAAAGTGAAAATCTAAAAATAAAAACTGATTCACAACAGTAATTAAATAGCACTGATCCAAACGCAGCAGAAATAAGCCGCTTCAGTGATTATTCGTCTCTGACCTCATCAAACACGTCCACTCTGGCATTGTTCTGCAGCAGGATCTTCACGACCTCTGTGTGACCCTGCTCTGCAGCCAACAGCAGCGGCGACCAGCCGTTCTGTACAGGGGCGGATTTAGTGATTTGGGGGCCCCAGGCAAAATACAGGAATGGGGCCCTATACAATTTCACACATTTACAACCTTGATGTTCCTTTCACTGTTGCTCGCTGCTGCACGACCGTGTCCCATAGTTGTGTCTAATCTTTTAGATTGTTCATGTACATGTTATAAATAAAGGATTTCTTTAATGTTGTAAATCCCTTGTTCACATTTAAACAGGTTATAATAGTATTAGAGTAGGTTGGACACTAGGTGGTGCGTTGGGGTCATTTTCACTATGCAATTGTCTACACAACGCAAGGCTGTCTAATTCTAAACTTTAAAATATACATTTATTTTTTATTTATTTTAATTGCACATTTAAATTAAACTGAAGGAAATTATAAATGTACATGCTTAAGGATTATTTCAACCAAACATGAAGTGTGCCTGTGTGGAAAGGGACTGTGCATGGTCCTTCTTGGGTCTTTCACAAAAACGAGTGAGCGACATTTAA